CTGTCTGGGCAGGGCTGATGAAAGGAGATGTGGATAGGTCTCTTGTGATGCAATAGTGAATAATTGTTATCAGGACTGACTGTGAGAGTTGGAAATGTAAAGGTAGACATTTTGTAGCAAAAGGAGGGGAGTGATTGACTTTGCAGTCTAGGAGTGGAGGACCCTGGGACCATCAAGGGAGAAGAGCGGAGAGTGAGACCCTACCCAGAGAAGCAGTGACGCCAGAGATGGAGGCAGAGGCAATGATGTGGAGACATGAAGCAGCTGGAGACTTTAGACCCAGAGAGGGTGAGGGGCTGTGTACTGACGACCAGGGGTCAGGCTTGCAGGGTATACCCTTTGGTTGGTTGATGATGCATGGAGGGGATTGTAACCATGGCAATGAAACGAATGTAAAAGCTAATGTTCTCCCATTTAAATGATCACATAATTCACAATGAAACATTTTTAAAAAACTAAAAACCCTATATGAAAAGAGAAATAGTTACACAATAATAGTAGAAAATTTTAACACTTCCATTGATGAACTAGGAAGAAACTCAACAAAAATACAGATGATCTAAATAACACAATCAACTGACTTGTCCTCACAGATATATACAGAACACTCCACCCAACAGCAACACAGTACACAGTCTTCTCCAACACACATGGATCATACTCCAGAAGAGATCACATATTTCAGGCCACAAAGCAATCCTTACTCAGTTAAAAATAAATAAATAAATAAATAAATAAATAACAAAAGAAGCTTTTTTGATCACCATAATATAAACCTAGAAATCAGTTATAGCAAGAAAATGAAAAAAAAGCAAAACATGAACACTGAATAATACCTTGCTTTACAAATTACAAATGAAAATATGGTTTAACTCCTAGAATCAAATGAGATTGAAAACACAACATACCAAAACCTTTGGGACACAGCAAAAGCTGTGCTCAGAGGAGAATTTACAGCAATAAATTCACACATCAAAAAAGAAGAAAAGGTCCATATCAATAGCTTAATTCTATCACTCAAAAAATTAGGAAAGGGGCAGCAAAAAAAAAAAAAAAGCCCAGAGTCACCAAAAGAAAGAAAATAATAAACATCAGAGCAAAGATAATAAAACAGAAAAACAATAGAATCAGCAAGGCTAGAAGTTGGTTTTTTGAGAAGATCAGTATAACAAAGGAAAAGAATGAGAAGATGTAAATAATCAAAATGAGATGGGTGATGTTACAACAGAATCAAATGAAATCAAAATGGATTCTAACAGAACATTATAAAGAATTGTACTCCAATAGATTTGAAAACCTAGACGAAATGGATAAATTTCCAGAAACATACTACCTACCTAAAGTAACACAAACAGAACATTTAAACAGATGCATAACAAAAGAAGAAATTAAAGAGGTCATAAAAAATCTCCCATCAGAAAAAAGCCCCAACAAAGATGGCTTCACTGGAGAATGCTACCCAGCATTCAGAGTTGTTATCAATTCAATGCAAACTATTCCAGAATAATTCTGACACCAAAGCCAGGCAAAGACACCACTAAGAAACAAAATGTAGACCAATATCCTTTCTGAAAACACAAAAGTTTTCAACAAAATCCTAGCATTAATTTTTGCAACCCCTCCTGCATTACTTTCCTGGGAAAATACAGTAAAACTCATCTGCCTTGAAACTTCTGGTGTTACCTTTTGGCAGTTGCTTTGTTTGACTAGGATCCAAACTAGTCCCAGTCAATGCATTTCCTTGTTAGGTTTTTAAATTTTCTTTTATTCTCCAGTGAGCATCACTCCCCTTTTTATTGCTTGTTTGTTGTTGTTATTTGACTCTCTAGGGTTGAGAACTACTGTTCAGCTCAGCTGCCTTTTGTCATAAATGAGAAACCTGAGGCCCAGAGGAAGAAGTACCCTTCTTCAGTTGCACAGTGTGTGTGGTGCCCCAGTCCAGCTTAAGGCCTATACTTTACTCCAATTCTTTCTACCACTTCAGAGTCTCCTAGCATGAGGCACCTTCTGCAACATGAACATATTCATTAAGGTCTCATAAAGATTGAGTGGCTTTCAGGATTCATGCAAAACTTGAAGTCTGAGTTATTTTCTTTCTAGCAGAAGGCCCAAAGTTTTCACTGGCTTCTCCTAGAGATCTGTGTTACAGATTCAAATGTACTGTAAATCCTAGTCTTTATGGCTGCGGTTATAATCCCCTTTTGGGTGTGGGTTTCCTGTGTTAAGTGAGTGAGACAGGATTAGTGCAGGGTGTTGCTTGAGTCAATCGCTTTTGAAATATAAAAGAGATTAAACAAATACGTGAGAGAAGCAGAGATGGGGGCAAATTAATGCCAAGTCACATAGGGATCTCCAAGGAACCAGAGACAAGGACATTCCCCAGAGCTACAGACACAGAAAACCTTGCCCTTTTAGCCTCCTACAGTGTGAGAAAATAAATTTCTGTTTGTTAAAATCATCCACTTGTGATATTTCTGTTATAACA